GAAAAAAAAAAAAGCTCCTGTATTTCTTTACCTGCTTTTGTTTGACATCAATGTCTGTTTATGTGCTTTATTTATTTATTGGAAGTGTTTAATTCATTGTTACAATTAGTATTATAATGTCTTTTTTCTGTGGTCTTGGGAGGCGGTGGGGGGACATATGGGGAGGGTGTGGAGACATAAAAGGAGTTAAGTTCATTGATGTGTGCATTTGCTGTTGTTTCTGTGTTTATATAACTGAAAATCTGTTCAAGACTGGGCGGGCGGGGGGAGACACTAAAAGGCACCACCATAATTGCATTTCTTAAATACAGTAAATTTAAACCCACACATATGGCAAGAAAGGATACAAGTGCACATCTATCAAAGACCTGCCACCTCATTTTAAGTCTTTTTTTTTGTTGTTGTTTTAAATAGAGTATTATCTTGGTACTTATCACCTGCTTGATTGTAACGCAAATCGAGAATGGTGTTCCCACTGCAGGAGGAAATGTGCTCACATCCTGCTGACTTTGTTTTCACAAACACAAAGGACAGAAGAAAGGAGAGGAAACAACTGTGAAAGGCTGACGTCTGTGTGGCTAACCCCCCCCAAAAAAGTGAAACCCATGATCCCCTTGTTCAAAATTGTAGCAGCGCTAAGGGCTGTTATTACTTTCACTTCGGAAGGGTTTTCGTCCTCGTTCGGTGGCTGGCAAGATGACGCAAATCCCACTGAATCAAATTCCACACAAAGTTGAAGCGAGGTGTGGAACAGGCTCCTGGGAACAAACTGGTGAAAATGGTTGCACATCCAGATGTTATTTTGATACTTTGAAATGTGGCCATACTATATAAAGCGTTAAGTCAATGTTTATTTGCGTAGGTTACTGACTCGGGGTGTGAATCTTTGTTGTATTTGTGACTTTTAAAGACGATGACAAAAACAAGGATGTTGATTCCCTTTAGTAACAACTGCAGCGAATACGGTTAAGAGATCCCACTGAGGAAAACAACAGGGGAGTTTGTTATCAGGATCACCGACCCAAAGTTTGCTGGGATAACCTGATAAAGCTGCCGTCTCTAATCCTTCTTTAGTCTTAGGTATTTTTCAGAGATTAGCAGAGAGCACTCCCTTCTCTTCTAACTTCTAACATCAGAGGGAATGCCGATGAAACTTTGCGGCGGATATTTTACCATGCGATCGACAAAATAAGATGCTGGGCATCTCGCATCAGTTATCTTGTCTTTTTTTTTTTAATTGCTCTTTTCCATCAACTAAATTCGGACATCTAAAGATGAACCTGAATTTAATCTCTCCCCCCCAAATATAAGGTTGCCTACAGTGAGTTGGGTGTTTGAGTTACTGTTGAGAGCACGTTTTCTTTGTCGTTGTTGTTTAGATTAACTTCTATTTACACTTGTATGACCGTTATCTTGTTGAAATGTTACATAAAACATTCGCAGTAGAGTAAATAGAGGTTTTATAATGGCTAAAGGTCATCCACTGGAATGAAATGTCTATTTTTTTTTTTTTAATGGAAAAAATAATATCTTCACAATGTAAACTAATCCGAAGGTCACCAGCCAAACGTATTTGACTTTAGAAGTTGAACGGAGAAGCAAGCACAATTTATAACATGCATTTATTAGATAAGAAGTGATTCAAATATTCCTAACCCTGAATGGTATCGGCTTGTGCTGGGTTGCACCAACTCCTACCCGCTGACACTCCCAGATTTATGCCCACCTCTTGACTCATCTATTTCTACTGTGGTTACTCATTGCCAAATGACGCCAGTCCAAGTCTGGACACCCTCGTGTGACGTGTAGGCGGCAGATTTCAGTGATAGAGACACACATTGTCAGAGCAACGGACTGGCATATTCCCAGTTAAGAGGATGTGTGAACACAAGACGCAGTTTGTTGTTGAACTGAGCTGAACTTGGCCAAGGCAAAATATTTATATTTATCTCCTCATCTGAAATATCTCTGTCATTCCATTCCAAATTAATTGCAAAGAATTTCTGGCACAAGGAATGGAACTGGAACATGCAAATCATGTTTAGAACAACTTTTTTTTTAGGGGGGGGGTCCCTGCTCTGTTGTGAAAAACTCAATGTCACCTGGATTAAAAATAGCTCCCTCATACACCAGTAGGGGGACGCAGAGGCATGACACCAGTGATACGCTAAACAGGGTGTCATAGCACATTACTGTGCTGTGAAATAACCATGAAATTACACAATTAATGTAAATTTATTATTCAATTATTATTTATTCATCCAAAATTCCGCTGCGCTGTCGGTGAGTGGTTAACATATCTGCCTCACAATTCAGAGGTAATGGTTTCGAAATCTCCTGTGTGGAGTTAGCATGTTCTCCCCATGCTTGAACGAGTTCTCTCTGCATACAGTGGAGCCCCGCTATTCGCGGGAGGGGCTGAGCCAGGTCACCAAGTGGCGAATAATACGCTCTTTGCAAAAAACGTTGTGGCGTAACGTCCTCAGGGGAAGTTGCCGCTCACTCGTTTACATTTAGGCCCCGCCCACAGCCGTCAATGCAGTCTCCAGTGAAAAAACAAGACCCTTTTAAAAGATTTTTTTTTCCATTCCAAAAGCAACACAAACAATACCATTAGCATTGTTATGCTCCAATATTCAACACATTTTAAGCAACCAAGAATTTCCCAGTGACGTAAGTAGTGATGGCAAAACTGTGTGGCAGAATTTGCTTTCAAGGGACTGCAGCTACCAAGTGCATAAAATTAAAAGGAGAAAAGATCTGTTAAAGAAAGCGGTCCCATCCATCCATCCATTCCCACTTCAAACTTTGAAAACAATACATGGCAAAAACATCATTCATTCATTAATTAGAGGTGGCTTAATTCAGTTTGGAGACAGTGAGTGAACTACTTTCGCAAAGCTGACGTTATATTTAACCTATTTGGGAACAATCCGCATCGTTGTCCTCATGTCAGCTGTGTCATGCTGTGAGTGGTCGATATTTTCGTACCCCAGACAGGATATGCTCCAAAATAGCAGGTAGCTACACTGATGTTACCTAGGTCGGACTGTAAAACATCAACAACATATAAACAACCGCTACAATAAGCAGCCGGTCATTAGTCACCAACGTTTGGCCAACAAAATAAGAGCATCATTTACATTTGTGTAGTTTTTAAAACGCTCTTTCAGATATGTAGTCAGTATTTCAGAAAATCTGCCAGGACAGAGACAAATTCATTAGCACAGCCATGCAAACATTTATTAGCATGCTAACTTTCCTAGGAAGGGGACCAGGTTTGCTGATGAAAAAAGTATCCAATAAAGCCAAACAAAAATTTTCAGTCAAACTGGGAAAAAAAAGGTTCCTTTGTCATATACAGTGTGTTACCGTAACGCCATCTTTGCCTATTCATTCATTGTATTGTTACCATGTGTCTTCCCTTCGGACTCGCATACAGTCATCCAGTTTTCCAAGCATCACAATCTTCCTCCTCCTCGAATCTTAAGTAAACTCGCCTTTCCTGTGGGAGTGAGTCGATAGCCACCGGGTGTTTCCGTTTTGTGTGGGCCATCTTTTTTACTTATTGGCAACAGAGTGGGGCTTGGTGCATTCAATTCCCAGTTTCAAGAACACTTTCTCCACAACAGACGTTGCCAACATGACGAAGGCGTGGCTGAACACAATATCCCACATAAATGTGCTTTTCAGTCATCAGCCCATAACAAAATAGCTAAAAAAATGAAACTTGAGAGAAAATCAATGGCACAAAATATGGGAGGATTATATAACATCATGTCAACGTGGGTGGACCTCTGGGTGCTGTCAAAAATATATTACAGCGGTGTTGATTTACATCATCTTGGCTTTAGCTCTCTACACACAAACAGACAACAATAATAAATTTGAGCATTTTCCCTCCCCGACATCAATCAGGAAAGGCCCGATTTTCAGATGTCTGAAAGATTATGCTGAGCAATTACCCCATGGTAATGTCAAACATGTTCATTACTTCTGCTCAGGTGATAAACAATGAGTTTGGCAAAGCCGCAGACACTGTTGCGTTTGCCTTGCGATTAATTTGCAAATTCCAATTCCCAATCTCCAGAATAATATCCTGAGTGATTATCCTGATTTATTGCAAAATGGCATGGGCTGACAATAATGACTGTTGAACTTGTCCAATACTTCCACTCGCTATTTACAAACAAGGCACAGATTCTCCGACTGCGAAGTGAGACGGAACGAGGACCAATTAGAAGTTTTGTGTTGTTGCTGGACACAGTGGAGCAACTGGCCTCATTGAGTGTTTGTATAACGTTTGTCTTCAACTCTTTCACCGCAAAACCTCAAAATCTCAAGGAGAATAGTTTACAACTAGTTATCAAAGAAGCAAACACTTGGCCTAGCTACTGACGACTTTTCCTTTGTTGCATTTTTCAGCTGTCTGGGTGCCCTGTCGCACTATGTTGCCTTTCACAGGTCATTCTTGGCAAGACAAGCCATCTGATTTGGCGGAAGACTCTTCTCCTTGGAAGTGTGGTGTGAGGGTTCGTCGAGATGTCATTATATGTGGGTTGTGGTGTGTTGGCCTTCTCAAGTACATGACCACACACAGAAAGCAGACACGGAGATTCCTCTTTGACCTTCACCACGATTTGGTTCAGATTATGTATCGTCACGCTTTAAGAAAACAAGACTAGAACACAACAAAATGAGGCCATATTCATGTGAACACACATCCCCGGCCAGTAGAATGTGAAACTGTCAAGCTTGTTTTTTTTTTTTTTCACTAGCCTGTCTATAATGTGAGTGCACCCTGAGTGGGCAAGATGGTAATTAAAAATGGAAATGACAGCTAAACGTTTGATGTGAAGCTCTGCTGACCAATACATGTGGCAGACTCTAAAAAAGATCTGAGTTCATTGTTGCAGATATTAATAAGGGGGCTGAGGGGATGAAAACATTGCGGTTCTATACGAGCCGAGCCACACGAGTGTGAGGCAAGTACACCTTACCTGGCTCCCTGGGATGACGCCGTCGTGATGGTGTGAAACCTCAGCAGGCGGAGGAGCAGGGGGACGTGGAGATGATCTCCTCAATTGGATTTAGAAGGAGGGGAAAAACACGTCCAGCCAACCGAGTAAGATGGGGGTTTGTGGGGTTATTTCAGGCGGGCTGATGCCCATCCATGGTCCTTGTGTGCCCGGTTGAGGAACATCGGTATCAGAAAACAGTCGCCTCCAAACTGACAAAACAGCTCCTTAATATATCGTCGCCCCTTGCAGATACGTACGATGCCTGGTAATAACGATTTTCTTGCGAGTCAGGCTTGTTTGTGAAAACAACAACGGCGGCAGTGGCAGCGCTCGTCTCTCGGTTCCGTCAAGTGTGCGCAATGTTCGCCAATGTCTGCAACATGCAAACGTCCGTCCTGGTGCTTTAAAAAAAACGAAGGAAGGAACGGAGATAGGAGGCGGTGCTTTTACCTCTAACCGTCGCCTGCTGCTGCCAACCTCAATAGGAAATGTGCCCATTGCTGGGACGCCATAGTCGGTGTGCAGAAGAGGTTTCCTGTTTGCTGCTTGCTGAGAGGACGCTTAGAACAAACCCTTGGCAGCTATTTTTAAATCAGCCACACCGCCCCCTGCAGGTCAAAATGTGGCAATCGCACCACCTCGATCTTGTGGTCACGTGGTTTTGTTTTCCGTACCAGACGCTGTTGGACTCTAATTCTAAGAACCAAAGACTTCTGCTTCTATTAGATACTTATACACTTGTGATTGTGCCCCTGGATGAGGGAAAGAAAACGGACGGATGGATGGACGGATGGAAATATGTCAGCAATGTGCGTTTTTTTAATGTTATTTCCTTGCACAAAGATAACCCAAGCAAACAAAAAAAATGACGTTTTTAATTTGTGATTTTATTTATGAAGTATTTTATTCCGTTCAAAAATAAAATCACAATTTAATTTTTCATATTCAAAGTTACGTGGTCTTTTAAAATATGTTAATAGTTTTAAAATTAATGTCTCATGAAATATTTTGGGGAACTGTAAATAGACAGACGGACAGATAGATTATCTATCTGTCCGTCTGTCTATTTACTTATTTAGATAGATCGATCGATCGATCGATCGATAGTGTGTGTGTGCGTGTGTGTTTGTGTGTGTGTGTGTGCGTGTGTGTGTGTGCGTGTGTGTGTGTATGTGTGTGTATACAGTACATGCAACTCAAATACCAAACTAAATAAACGTTTTTCTCATCAATTTTATTGCTTTTTAACATGGAATTTCAACACATGTAAAGTACAAAAATATATTCTTTATATTTTCATCTTTATTCCACAGCCCTGGAGGAAAAGTGCTGTTCACTATGATAAAGTTTCAAACCATCAATCTGTTACCATTACACCTTATTATGGTTTCAACAAGTACCCTACTTTGCAGTGCAAGAACCCACATAGTGCAGAGAATTAAGACTGTGATAAACCTAAAAGCATTTGAAAGCACACAAAAAATAATAAAATGCTCGTACTATATACAGTTGTTTGAGTGGTAAAACTTCACCACTCCAGTTTCATATCAGCTTTACTCCACACATACTTTCCTCCCCTTTTTAGAAACATTTTCTCATCAAATCCACTAAATCTGATGGCTGCGCTCACGCCAACGTCGAGGATGGACTTGGATGGTTCCTTTCGACCCCCACGACAGTCCAGGAAACGCATCTGAGGGAGTGAAGGGGGGAAAAAAATTGCTAAACAGAGAGCATGCATACAATTTATTCGCCACACAACAACTTAAATGGATCCAGTGTTGCTCGTGATGAATGACGTCATCAGGCATGCCAAGTGGAAGGCGACAAACTACTTACATATTCATCCAAGATCAAGTAAGAATTCCTCATCTGTGAAGACAAAACCACAAACATTTGTTTTAGTTTGTGAGGCACAAGAAGTACTGCAAGCAAATGGTTCTTATTTAAAGATATAACCCTTTTGTCACATTTGCATAACACACAGTTTGACTGCAATATATAAAATCCATACATTTTTGGATGATGCTTAAAAATTTATAATGGATTTATTGTTTCATGGGAACTTTACAAATGTCCTGGACTCCTGTTTCGATGCCAATGTTAAGAATTATGCTACCTGGTGGACCTTTACCATGTATGAATCAATCTAAATTTTTTCAGACTGCAAACCTCTTGAGGTTGAATTAACTGCATCAGCAGTCAAAAACTACACTCGGTTTAACACTAATTGCTTCAAGACATGATTAATTCACACAATGAATTCCACACTACTTGTAGCAGTCAATTAATTGATTATCATGCCCATACCAACGAAATCTATGAACTGGTACCTTCTCATTGGACTCTGGAACCAGGCATGAGATGCTGCTGTGTCTGTCCAAAAAATCCTGAAACTGCTGCTCACTGATGGTGAACCGCTCGGCTTCTCTCAGGGCTTCTTCTCCTGCATTTTCACCATCAATCAGCAGACACTGGAACACCTGAAGTACAGAAAAAAAACATTGCATTGAAAATCAACATGGTAATACAATAAACAGTTCAACCTCAATACGAGTACCTTCCATCGCACTGGGTTGAGCTGAATGATACAGTCTGTCATGTCCTCGTCCACATTGAAGGTGTTGATGACCGAATTGATTTTAAAGGCCACTTTATATTGCTGACACCAGTTCTGGATCTTGTAGAGATTGTCCAGGTGGCTCCTCCTGCCTTGAGTTCGGCCAATCAGCTGGTTGGTCGCTTCGTCAAAACTGTCGCACGATATGGCCAGGATGTCAAGATGGTCGCCTATGACAGAAGAAGTGTGAAGATTGCGACAGAGACACTGAGTACAAACTGTGAACTGTAGTCCAAAAAACATTTTTGATCAGTTATCGTTTTATGTTCCCGAATCATTTAGTCACCCTTTATTAGGGGAGAGGCCATATTTGATAACTCACGATGGCTCACTGTCTGTAGCACACTGTGCGAGCAAAATGTTTATTTTTATTATTTCGAAAAAAAGATCTAGTCCAATCTAAAACGGTATTGTTGTAAAAGATCGCAGTGCACACCGTCAGACAACTGTTCAGGCCTCTCATACGCTTCAATACTGAGTGAATGAAATTACAGTTACAATATAGCAAGTGCGAAAGTTTGAACGTGACAATTCTACATAGTGCCAACTTACTATCTGTAAGTTGGACCAAAAATGTACTCGAGTCCTTTTTTTGAAATCAAAATACCGGTAACTAAAAATGCACCGTTGTATTTAAACATGAACTACTGCGCAGCTAAACCTTCAGGCATCGTCAGACTTTTCAATACTTAGACTCCTAAGTACAGGTATTGAAAATTCCGACTATGAGGCATTTTCCTCAGAGCGCAGGGGCTCGACCTAGTGGGGAACTTGGTTAATTACCATTGTATCAACCTTTTTGAAAGGACAAACAAAAAACATGTCGTGTACAAAAAAAAAAAAAAATACACTAATAAAGTGTTATGATAATAATGTGTGAGAGGGCGTATAACTGTTGTTTTGGTACTTTTCGTGTCATTAACCAACTGCCAAAAACATAAAATGTACATAAAACGGAATAACAAAAGATACCGTGTTTCAACCTGGGACCAGCGTTATTACACACTCATTTTAAAATATAACAAATACGTTTCAAACGAAGTTATTTAAAAAAAAATTAATTAAAAAAACTACCATGCTGCTAGACTTGTTGGAATTTGACTAAATAAACCAAACAGCAGAAGTACAAGGCCATGTTAAAAAAAAAAAAAAAGTACACTTACGCATTCATTTTAAAATATAACAAATATGATTAGAACAAGGTTACTTGAAAATTGCTCCCGTGCTGCAATTATCGTTGGGAGTTTGACGAAAGAAATCATCGAAAGCATATTGAACAATGGCATTCATCACCACATTGGTTTGCAACCAAACATGCATGTAGCCCTAGTGCCAGGGAAAACCCATGCAAACATGAGGCGAACATGCAAAGTCCACACAGGAAGTCAGGAGGAGAGATTCAAACCCCCGAACTTCAGGACTGACATGCTTACCACTATTTTACCATCCATCAATCCATTTTCTTGTCCAGTTATCCTCACAAGGGTTGCGGGGCGTGCTGGAGCCTATCCCAGCAGTCTTTGGGCAGTAGGCAGGGGACACCCTGAACCGGTTGCCAGCCAATCGCAGGGCACACAGAGATGAACAACCATCCACCCACACACTCACACCTAGGGACAATTTGGGAGTGTTCAATCAACTTGCCATGCATGTTTTTCGAACGTGGGAGGAAACCAGAGTAACCGGAGTAAACCCACGCAAACATGAGGCGAACATGCAAAGTCCACACAGGAAGTCCGGAGGAGAGATCTAAACCCCAAACTTCAGGACTGTGAAGCAGACATGCTTACCACTAGATTACCATGCTACCCATATTTACCATATTTCTGGAACCATTGTTCTTTGATCATGCTTCCATTGCTGACGATGCTAACACTTGGAAGTTGCAAGTCTTGTTTGCAGTAATGGACTAACTTTCCAAGAAAGTCTCCTTTTTCATGCAAGAATGGTTCTCCTCCAGAAAAGTTGATCTTTTCCATACCTGAGAAAAACAGATCTTAATTAAATACATCAGGTAAGTGACAGACAAAAAAAAAACTTGCTTGGTGTTATTTACCGGAATCCTTGAGGAGTTTGAGGCCCCTCTTTGCTTCATCCAGAGGCAGCACAAAGGACGTTTTTGCTGTGTGGAAGCAAAAGCCACACTTGTAGTTACACTTGCGTGTAAAATGGTAGTTTACACTGGTTGGAGTCACAGCATTTGGACTGGCTTTGTTGACATCTGGGTCGGAGCCCGGTCCCTCGCAGGCTCCCACTGTCCAGGAAAAAGTTTTGTCCAATAATCTGGCAAAAAAGGAGAGGACTGTCGTGACGCAAAGCTGCAGAAGCAGCAAAGGACCTGTAAGGAAGGTGGACGCATTCATTGCCCAAGTAGTTCTGGCTCAAGCTTACACTCAATAGAAGTGATCTTACACTCCGAACTTGCTCCTTAAATAGAGCCCGGGAAGATCAGCTGACCTCATAGTTTCTGTTTACAAACAACGAAAACGAAACTTACTGCTGGTTGTGTGAGCATGCGTGCACTCAACTGGAACCTACATATAGAGCACTGTTCGACCACCTCAAGCGTCTAATAATGTCCTTTAGTAAAAGAGTAAAAGACATTAAAACTATTACTGTTATATATGTTTCACTTGTTTCTTTTTCTGCAATATTAATCATTGCCAACTCTTCCCCCATCCATATTCTTTTATGATTATCCTTATTATGGATGCAATATTCACACGCAAAAATGTCCAATTGCGATCTAAACTTAAAAGGCAAACATGCTAATAGCTTAACCACCATGCTGCTATTAGACCACTTTTTTTTAAAGTCACACATCTTAAATGTGGTTGAGCACAACTGCATGCTATAGGAATAACAATTTGTCAAAGTTTTACCAAATTTTGATTCTAGGTTACATCAAAACATTGGTCAGACTTTAAACGTCAATACTGGAAAAGTGATGATGTCATATCATGTCACCATCGGAACATTGTTATTCGTCTTGAATAGGACAAAGTGTAGATAATCTGAAGGCGTGCTCCACTTTCTTTGAAATGCTGCTTCGTTTTTTTTAAAGTAGATATTATTGCTCAGTCTTCCGCAAAGAGGCTATTATCTTGAAATATTAACGGTGGCCGTTTGTAGTGTTGTAAATATGCTTTTGATTGCATAACCTCTTCCGCGCTCAAGCCCAAAGAGTTTTGTCGCCAGTGCAGTGTTTACTTTCGTTTTCCCTCACGCAGCCTGGAAAACGAAACATACGCAATGTCGAGGCGGACCATGGCACTTCTCTCTCAATGGACCTCGCGTGTTTTCTCCGTGGATATGGACGGGGAGACGGTTTACTTCAAAATCCATGACACCCAAACAGGAAAAGGAGGAAAAGAAGTGCTGCGAATGTTTGGTAACATTCAAAAGGGTGCCAGCTGTTATTCTCTGCTTGTTTCCAGCGGGGAGAAAATCCACTCCGCAAGGTTTCACTGGAAACTCAAAGACAAACTGTCAACAGCTCTTCCTCCACAATGTCGTTTTTCGCCGATGTGCTCGTTTCTGCCTGGCGTCCGAGACTCCCTCGTACATGGCTATTTTTTGCAAGCTCCATCTTCTGACAGCTCCGCTACTACAGAGCGACTTTTACGACAGTGGCTACGGCTTGACGACCCCTTACTGGTGTGCTCATACTTGCATGAGGAGAACACTCCTCGCTGGATTCAGCACCTGTGGAACACCGAACAGAATCACGGCATAGTACCGTCAGAAGCGCCGGAGTCCCACCCGGCTACGCTTAACCTGATCAACTCTGATGTTTTCTACAGTTTCCAAGCGGCCCGTGATGTTCTTCAGAAGGTTAATGATGCTTATGTCATGTCTAAATTACACACTCACTGGATACTTCATTAGATAATCCACAATTTCAATAATAATAGTATTAATTGTGTGTGTGTGTGTGTGTGTGTGTGTGTGTGTCTGTCTCTCTCTCTCTCTCTCTCTCTATACTTCTCTCTCTCTCTCTCTCTCTCTCTCTCTCTCTCTCTCTCTCTCTATGATCATCATGGGTGTGCCAAATGAAGTGACCTGTAATTGGACTTCATGTGAATGTGAAATTATGGCGTCCTCATGTGGTGAAATGCGGTACATCAAATTACGTGAACCAAATATTTTCGTGCAATATGACTCAATTTTGTGTTCAGAAAATTGCACTCAACCGCATTTCAGCCATATTATTTCAAAATTTTTAATGCGATAGAACATAAGATAATTGTTTTTTGAATTTGAAGTTTTGTTGTTCAAATATACTATAAACCCCGCCTATCAATCAAAATCTAATTGACTTGAAAACATAGCTTGTGTAAAGGTTTATTCAGTGAAAATGTAATCAATTTGAACTAAATTGCAATGTGGACAGTTCAGTGCTATAGTTGGTTCCCTCACAAAAATGTTGGGTTTGAATTTGGCCTCTTTCCTTCCAGAGAGGAGTTTGTTCTCTCCACGCTCGGGTGGAGGGAACAAGGAGGAAATCAGTAAGTAAGTAAACCTACTTACTTATTGATTTCCTCCCACATTCCAAAAACATGAATGTTAGGTTCATTAAGGACTAAATTCTCCTGAGGAGTGAACCTGAGTTTGAACGGTCGATTTTCTGTATACAGTGTATGCCCTCCATTTGGCTGCCAACAGGTGGCGCTCTGCCTCTTCCCAATGTCAGCTAGGATAGACTTCACCTCACTCGTGACCCAAAAGTGGTGGATGGATGAAAAACATAATTTGTGCCAAATCTTATTCACTTGAAATGACTTCCTCCCACATTTCAAAAACACACATGTTAGGTGCATTAATTGTCTGTTTGTGTGATTGGTTGATTTACTTTATTATTATTATTTTTTAATTAAGTCCCACGAGATAACTAGTTTTAAACATTGAAAGATTTTGCAATGCAATGTTGACAAATATGGACAGGAAAAAGTTGAACGCACATGCAGAGAACTGTACGTATCTACGATGGTATACCATTGGAAGCAGATCCAAACACTTACATTGTCTGACATCTTTGGGGGTCTGCTCTCTACTTGACTCCTTTATCTCTGCATTTATATTTAAACCAGCAAAGTGATTGTGGTTGTCTTGCAGTGTGCTGACATCATTCCGGAGGCTGCATCTGTACTGGAGCTGCTGCCTTGTGACGGTGACATGGAGGCCAGAAGCAAACCAGACTTCCCCATTATTGTCTTGGAAGGCCTGGATGCCACAGGTTAATGCCATTAGGCCACAAATAAAGACATGACTGCCGTGATGTATAGATGGAATGTGAAAGCAATGGCTGCTCACTGGCTGCTGAAGCTATTATCTACCAGTGCGCTTGGGACTAATGGAATATCGTGTATCGTGACCCCAGAAGAGGAACGTCACCGGGAGAATGGTTTATTGAATGACTCACTCACGCAATACTCTTTGGCAAGCCTCTTGAAAATCTCTGATGCAGTTTTTTTAGGTCATTAACTTTGCAACTTTCCTTCTTTTTTTCCATCACAGGTAAAACCACATTGACCGAGTCTCTCAGGGATGCGCTGGGGGCCACCCTTCTGCGTTCCCCTCCACCGTGTCTCTCCCCCTGGAGGGCCCGCTTTGATCAGGAACCTCCCATCCTCCGAAGGGCCTTCTACGCATTGGGCAACTACATCACAGCACAACAAATTTACAGCCAAACCTCCAAGACACCTGTCATCATTGACAGGTAAATCGTTTCGAAGTCTGGTGACTTTCCTTCACTTCTAATGCAGGTTATATTTGTGTATGCCTAAACTTCTACATCTTAACTGATTTGTAATTACAATGAAGAGGAAAAAAATGACGCAGGTAAAACAATAAAAACGTTTTTTTTAATGATTTTTCTTGATCACGGTTGGCTCTGGAACTTATCCCCGCACTATAAACAGAGGTCCACTGCACTAAAAGAAGAAACAGAAGCTTGGCTAACTGTTAATTTATGTGATTAACGACACTGCAGTTGCTAACTCTACTTGTCATTTTGATTGTGGTGGGTGACTTGGGAGATATTTTCTACAAACAGTCAACATCAGTCAACCAATCAATCAAATCAGCGAATTAATCAAAACCTTTATTTAATCGATCGAGTCATTTTCTAATCAGCTCATCGTTACAACGGTCATGGGCGTGCTGGAGCCTATCCCCGCTGTCTTCGGGCAGTGGGGTACACCCTGAACTGGTTGTCAGCAATGTGCAGGGCACACAAAGAGGAAAAACCATCCACGCTTGCAGGGCACACAAAGAGGAACAACCATCCGCGCTCACACTCACTAGGGTCAATTTAGAGTGTTCCATTAACCTGCCACACATGTTTTTGGAGTGTGGGAGGAAACTGGAGTACCCAGAGAAAACCCACGCAGGCATGGGGAGAACATGCAAACTCCAAACAGAAATTGAGCCCTGCACCCCTGGACTGTGAGGACGACGTGCTAAACAGTCGACGCAGGCATGGGGAGAACATGCAAACTCCAAACAGGAATTGAGCCTTGCACCCCTGCACTGTGAGGACGACGTGCTAAACAGTCGACAACTGTGCCGCCCCCTTTATTCAATCAGACAATAAGAATCATTGAGACCGAAGTCGTGTTTTCAAGAGCGATCTGAAAATCGAGCCTTCGTTGACTTTGATCGTAAGGGAGGAAAAAATTTAATGTATGTGTGTACCCCACTTAAGACGCAAAGGACAGCAGAGAAGATAATAGCACAAGGGTGACCATTGCTTGTTCGCAGGTTCTGGCACAGCACAGCGGCTTACGCCATCGCCACAGCCGTAAACGGACCAGTGTGTGACCTCCCGGCAGAGGGCTCCGAGCTGTACCGCTGGCCCAGTGACCTTCTCCAACCTAGTGTCGTTTTCCTCCTTACGCTGGACCCTGAGGAGAGGAAGAGGAGGCTGAAGGACAGAGGTCAAGGGGAGACCAAAGAGGAGCATGAACTAGATCTCAACCAAGTTTTTCGACTCAGGTAATGAAAAAAATGTCTGTGGGAGCAAATGTTCTGTTTGTTTTAATAGCACCTTGTCGCAGCGCTGTTCCTTAAATATTCAAACCGAGCAATCGTGGTTTCATCAGGCTTAAAGTTTCGCCTACTTCCAGCCAACAAATCGTCAGATTTGCTGAGTGCCTGTCAAAAGAAACTTCCTCGGAACACCCATCATGGCGTAGAGATGAACCACAGTGTCAAACAAGTGCATCGATGCTTGCGTCGGCATGGTTATGACAGTTTTTTTGCTTGAGTGCAGCTGCTCTGTCTATGAAAATTGAGCCCTTTCAGTCTGAAATGAGGAGTGGGGAGAATCGCATTTGAGAATATTTGTGTCCAGATGAAGGCGTTCATCAGGCTTAAAGTTTCGCCTACTTCCAGCCAACAAATTGTCAGATTTGCTGAGTGCCTGTCAAAAGAAACTTCCTCGGAACCCCCATCATGGTGTAGAGATGAACCAAAGTGTCAAACAAGTGCATCGATGCTTGCGTCGGCACGGTTATGACAGTTTTTTTGCTTGAGTGCAGCTGCTCTGTCTATGAAAATTGAGCCCTTTCAGCCTGAAATGAGGAATGGGGAGAATCGCATTTGAGAATATTTGTGTCCAAATGAAGGCAAAGGGAAATCAGAAGGGTAAGCTGCGGAAAGTTACAACTCCGAACAGTGTTGAGAAAATGGATGTATTAAATATACTGTAAATAGTGTTGCTGTACATCTATTTATTGTTTATTCTTGATATGAGCAAATCTATATTAATGTGTCATGTTTTCATTGCGCTGGCATGGTAGTCTACTTGTTAGCACATCAGTTTCATGGTTCTGAGGTTGGGATTTAAATCCTTCATCTGGCATTTTTGTGTGGCGTTTGCATGCTCCCCCTCTGCTCATGTGGGTTTTCACCGGGTCCCGCATTCCAAAAATATGTTTCTTAAGTGTGCTTGTGTGTCTCTACCGTGTGTACCCCGCGCTCGTGTGGAGATCATTCCAGGGTGTGCCCCATCTCTCCACGAAAGTCAGCTTGGATTGGGTCTCCAACGGATGGATGTCTGCATTGAGTTATTTGATAACATTTATCCAAAAACAGATTCAGGCCGCTGAAAAAGATGGACTGTCTGATCTTATCACAGTTGTCAGCCATGATTTCTACTCTCGACTCGAAAGCTTTGCGGTCAGAGTGAGATATTTCCGACTTCACAGAAGTGTTGAGCGCAATATATTTCATCAAGAATGGACGTTAAGTATTTTACCCTTTGTGATGAGCTGACCTGACAGTGTAGAGACAGAGAACATTGTCAAGTTATCTCAAGTGTGCATCCGATACATCAAACATTTATTAATCACTTTCTTGTGAGAGTGGAGGAGTTGGGAGCGGGTCGCTGATGAGGAAGCGCCGGTGATTAGTCGTCGAAGCGTTGTGCTTCATTAAAGCAAGTCAAAACTCAACAGTCACGGCCAGGCCAGCAGGCCGCTGCGCAGACAGGTCGATGGCCACTTGCATTCATCTTTCCTTCTGACATAATAGCCTTTCCACATGGGACAGCCAGATGTTGGGCCAGCGCAATTAGAAAACGGAGGAGAGATTGCGCAGACTTGGTCAATCACTATCACAAGGACTCATTTGTCTCTGGAAATGGCTGTGCTCTGGGCCATCTGTGGTGTTTCTTCTCTCATATATTTCAAGGATGCCACACCATTCATCACTGTCTTATCCATTCACCATCACTCAGGGGCTCACTTAAGAGTTTTCCCAACGTACACTAATGATGTAAAGTGCTCCTTATTTTGAATGCTTTCTTAATCTGTTGACAAATGCGAGTGTGTGCATGTGCGTGTGTGTGTGTGTGTGTGTGTGTGTGTGTGTGTGTGTGTGTGTGTGTATTTGCAGAGTGGAGGAGGCTTACAAGAGGATCAGTGGTCCAACTTGCATCAGCGTGGACGCGAGCTCCTCCGCCGAGCAAGTTCTCCGACAAGTGCTGCTTTTAATTAAGGCCAAACGCTACTTGTAAAACAGCTCTCTCGTGTTTGGCGTCTGAGCATCAAGTGCATGCGCTACCGCATGTGGCCACTGGGTGCCAGACAAGGGATGTGAATGACAGATTGCTCAAAAAAAAAAAAAAAAAAAAGAGTCCAGTGAGATGCTACAGACAAGGAGCCAGAGGACTCACGTTGCCCCAATCAGAAATACATATTCATCCGGACACACACATACACGCAATCCCTTCAGCCGAAGAGTGGATTTAACTCTTGTTGTGAGCTCGCAGAAATCACATCAGGTATCCTTCAGGCCCTGTGGAGCATCACATTGCTCGCAGACTCTTGCACTCATGACGGCACACAGGAAAAGGACAGAACTAATGTATGTTATAGGCACTTAAATTCAAACTGTAAAAGCAAGTAAAATCTAAAGCAAAACTGGAAAGCATCACTGCAATATAAATTCAAGAATTAGACATTCACGTTCAATTTAGAATATAACTCATGTGAATTCAAGATGAGAGCAAATGACCAGTGTTGGGCAAACTCCTTGGAAAATGCAGTGAGCTAAGCCACACAAGTTATTCTACGTTAAATGAAGCTCCACAATGCTGTAGCTACCCATCAGTGTAGCAAGCGAAGCTGCAATAAAATGAGTTACTCAACTACATTTATCGAACCAACTTAATAAAGAAAATAACCCTAATTTTTCTGAGTAACATCACCCAATGTTTTACTGATCAATTTAATTTGTCTTCTCAATTTTCTTACCTCTGAATTCCCGTCATGCACGCACAGTTTTGTTCTGTTGCAAAAAAAAAAAAAAATCATGCTTTCAGCTAGTTCTATGTCAGCTGTTAATGATTACCGACAGAGTTGACGTCTTGAAGTTCACAGGAGCTTTCTTTTGGGGTTGCACGGTAAACGCCGGAATGTAACTGTGAAGACTCGATTCGTATGTTTTATTTAAAGTGATCGAGATTCGGCACATCACTGCCCGCTCCTCAGCTATCATTGTTGCATGCTTTCCATCACCAACTGCTTCTGAATGGGGTTCATCTGGTTTCTTTTACAGAATTTAAGTACAAACCCTGGTGAAAGTTTCCCAAAATGGCTGTCATTCTATTCCATTGTGGGCATGTGTATTTGGGACTTTTCTGTGCATCGTGTTATGACAAACGTCCACTCAAGTTTGTCTGGCTGCATGGGTGGTAGTATACTGCATACACATACGGACGAAGATATTTTCGCAGTTCCTTGTAAAGATACTTTACGCGCATCGATCTCCCACATGGACTCCAGCAGTCAATTCAGCTCCCGCCATGTAGACTGTGCGTGCACCTCTCCCGCGCTGAATTTAAAAGGAATGAGAGGGGCCGCTTCTAATATCTGGAAGCAAGTCGGCTGCGTTCACTGGGTTCAAACGCCCGTCTCTAACTGTGTGCATCTAAGCAAATACCAAAAGAAAGAAAACTCCAACCATGCGCATAGTGAGACCTCGCTTTGCCCGAGACTTGTTAGTTTGGAATAATTTACTGAATACTGTCATTTGCAGTTAAGTAGCATGGGCTTACAATTGTGTAGATGTATGGAGTTGGTCTTCTCTGTTCTAAATGCTTTGCTGCCATCACCATCTGTAATTCACGGATGTACACTACTCACAGCAGTGCTCAAGCCCTATCCTTTGCTAATAGCTGGGTTTCACTGTGTCATATTAACACCTCCTTGAGCATTATTATCTGAAGTTTTTTATGTGTACACTTATTGAATTACAGTAACACCTTTTTTTTTTTTTTCCTCACTTTTACTCACAAGGGCCGCAGGGCGTGCTGGAGCCTATCCTAGCTGTCTTCGAGTAGTAGGCGGTTGACACCCTGAACTGGTTGCCAGCCAATCACAAGGCACACATAGACGAACAACCATTCACGCTAACAATAAACACCGAGAGACAATTTAGAGTGTTCCATTAACCTGCCATGCATGTTTTTGGAATGTGGGAGAAAACCGGAGTACCCGGAGAAAACCCACGCAGGCAAGAGGAGAACATGCAAACTACACACAGGAAGGCCGGGGTCAGAATCGAACCCTGCACCTCTGCACTGTGAGGCCGATGCATTAACCACTCAACCACTGCACTGCCAATATCATGGCCAGTGAAGGTAAAAGGTTTGTATTTGATGTTCTCATGGGTGCAGGTGGTCACACATGCACAACATGAATGGTACACCTAGTGAACCAGCGTGGCCATTTAGCGAGAGTGCATACTGTAAGTAATTTATACAGAGAGGAAGTGCATATTTGGCCTATGTGATGGAAAGATTAATTGGGGGTTTTAGTAATTATGAGCTTGGCAAAGCCGGAGGCTCCCAAAGACAGAGTGACCCATCTCTTTCGCCGTGATGCATCAGCAGCATGCAGACCACCGCACACCCTATTCATATGGCAATTAATGGAGCGCTGTATATCAATGTCATTCCGCTGCTCCCCCACATAAGCGTGTGGATTACTCCTCCCTGCAATTATGCTGCGGTGGATGCAAAACAGAACCATCGCATGCAATCCCGTAAAGTAAAATAAAGTGTTTATTGAGTATGCAATCCCCGCATGTGGCAAGTATCACAATGGAGTTTATTGAATTCATTAGTCACCAGCCGCCTGGCGACACAGTGGATGTGCTGCGTGAGACAAAATGAATGCAGAGTTTTTGATAGCTGTTAACACAGTAGCCTCTTTCTCAGGAGGGGTTACATTTATGAAGTAAGAAAGCAAAGCAATTAGGCTTTTTACCATACATCATGCCCGAATGTAAACGCATGTGGCAAGTATCACAATGGAGTTTATTGAATTCATTAGTCACCAGCCGCCTGGCGACACAGTGGATGTGCTGCGTGAGACAAAATGAATGCAGAGTTTTTGATAGCTGTTAACACAGTAGCCTCTTTCTCAGGAGGGGTTACATTTATGAAGTAAGAAAGCAAAGCAATTAGGCTTTTTACCATACATCATGCCCGAATGTAAACGGGTGTGTGTGCAGGTGTGTGTGTGTGTGTGTGTGTGTGTGTGTGTGT